ATTCCCCCCCCCTTGGTTGTTGGGTTTTTTGTTTTTTGTTTTTGTTTTTTTTTGGCTGGCGGAGTTTAAAGCGGAGATTTTTGAAGGTGGATGCTGGTAAAGTTGAGCTTCTGCTTTTAGACTTGAGGCAGAGACGCCACAAGTCGAATGGTTTGTCTCCAAAGGGCAGTGCCTCCCCATTGGTCAGTCAACCCCTGACGTCACCATTCCGGAGGCTGCGACTGGCGTCTGTGGGAGCCTGAGTTTAGCCCACCTTCGGCAACTCCAAATCCCGGCTAGAGCGCGGCGAGGCGGCGTGCGCGCGCGCCTTCCCCTGCCGCGGAGCTCTGCTGCTCCCCGCCAGACAGCAGCCCCCAGGCTCTGCAAACTCAGGCTTCCTCGCCGCTCGCTTCCTCTGAGCCGCAGATTAGACAAAAGGAGTGCATGCTGTCACGGGGGGCATTTTTTGCTCGTGTCGTGTGCATTGTCGAGGCAATGTAGCAGACAGCCAAGTGTAACACAGCTACTAACCTAAAGGTATTTCAGTCCATCTATACAGCCCAGAGTTTGAATGCACCTTAGGTTTCCATTTCCTGTACTTCAAAACATGCAGTAAACACAAGTGAAAAGGGAAATTTAAAAGTGGAAAAACAGAACCCAAGTGCATGCTCCAGCCCCCCGTTCCTCCTGGGACTGGCTCCTTATTGATCAAGACAATATTTTCTATATTTTAGGAAGAGCAGCCTGCTCGCTGCAACAGCGAATCATTGGAGATCTGACAGTAATGCATTTTTTCCTATTGAAAACAGAAGCTACTGTAATGCTTTCAAATATATGCAAATGATACATGCGGTTAGTGGTTTGGCAAATCTTGATTACAATATAAACTACCCAAGAAAAAGTGCCTTCCTCCTAAATTTGTCTTTAGATTACAATTCCAGTTGATTTTATTTTATTGTCAACATTGTTAATGATAAAAATAGAGTCGTTTTACAGTTATTTTTACTTTCTGGAAGGAGGCAATTAGACGTCTAATCAGGAATACACAAAAATCTCCCATGATTAACTGCAGTACTTTGTTCAAATTGCTGCTATAAAATTCAGAACAATTTGCTTGTAATGATTATGGACTGGGTTTATTTTGGGAGGTGGAATAAAAGTGGATATAGCATAAATTATCCTCTAATTATACACCAGTGTCGCCTCAATTATCCTCTTATCAAAATGGTTGTCTAACTGCCGCATTTAGTTTCAATTCTCTCCTTTTTTTCTATAAAAAGAACTTCATACCTTGTTATTATTAATCCATTTATTATTTGCTAGGGGATTTATATCTGAACATCCAGGTGGTATTACCACTTCTCTTTCAAAGATGGACTGGGGAAAGACATTTAGTTTGAACCAGCACTGTTGTGGATCTATCCTTTTTTTTGCTTCCCCTGTTTAAATCTCCTCGCGTCCAGCTAGAGAAAGCATGAACTCCAGAGCCAGACACTACCGAAGAGGACCCAGGTAGAAAAAGAAAGGAGACGTGCAATTGGTTAAACCTAGAGAAAGCTGAAAGTTCTGTAGATTGGGAAATGGGATCAATCTTCGGGCTTTGAAAACCACCAGCAGCTGCAATTTGCAAAACAACTTTCAGGACTAAGCCCAGAAACGTATCCAAAACGAAGTACATGTCCTGACACTATTTCCGAGAGCGACATTTCCAGGGGATTTGTTTCGAACCTTTGCAGAATATTTAAAAACGCATCGCTTTTGGAAACATCAAGAGGGATTTAAAAAACAAACAAACAAACCGTTGCTTTGCTTATCAGCACGGTTATTAGCCCTAGGAAAGGGGTGGAAGTGGTAGAACGTGATCTCATCATTTGCATATTGCACCGTACATGCAATCGATGGGTTTAAGCTATTTTTTTCCCGGTGCATAGCCCCTAATCTCTCGGCGTTTATAGTGCAATTTGATAATTTGGGGGAATTGGGGGTGTCTTTTTTTTAGGGAGGCCGGGATGTTTTCTCCCCCCATCGGTGTTCAACTTCTTGAGCCTCTGGAGTCGGTTCAGTAACTCTGAATGCAGTTGTAAGTGTCTCACTTTTGCTCTCCTCTTTTAACAGGAGTTCCACGTTAACACGCGAAAGGGTAATCCGATCCACGCGTTTACAAATCTACAATGAATAAAAATGCTCAGAGTAATACAGAGAGGGAGGAAGACAAGGGAAAGAGCGGACTATAACATTCGTGCTCCAGCATCCCTGTTCCTATTGGGACTCTTGATTCATAGGGTGTAGGTAATGTACTCAATAGGAACAGGTACATTTGGCAGTTTTATTGCTTTATACCCTCCAGCTTGTTGTTAACACCAGGAAGGCGTTTTTCTGCAGGTGCGCATACTACCATTTTCTCCACGCTTTTCGGCAACTGCAAAAGCATGCATAACAAAAGATGTCAGACAACGGGCTAAGGAATGTCTTCAGAACGTTGTTTTGAAAGGACTCTGGCTGCAAACTGTATAGCTCTGGCTTAGAGCCTGCGAAAGGTGGAACGCTTTACATCATTTTTTTTAGTAAAATCTACATGCCACGCTTAAGAAAGAACTAGGCATCCTAGTCCTGAAACAAACAAGCAAAACAAACAAACAAACAAACAAAAGACAGGAATAGCCTAAAGTAACTGCTTCTTCGATAGGCAACATAGGGGTATAGCTGTGTTTCATCTTAAAGCTGGGGCTAAGTGACGGGTGTGCACCTGTATCTAGAACACATAGGGGAATGTGTGTGTGTGTAGATTTTCACTTTAGAATAATAAAATAATACAGGAGTATAAATAACAGTACAAGTATAAAGTATATATACTTTTATGGATTAGTGATTTATTATTGCTCAAGGTGTGTGTGTGTGTGTGTATACGCACACACACATTCTCAAGGTGTATATCTAGATATAGATGTAGATGTCCCTTGAGCAATTTACAGGGTAAGGACTGGCATTTTCTATAGGAGGGTTGAATACATCAAGCCGTATACTGATAATTTCCCCCCAATTTAATTAGGCAAATGTGTCAGTATGCAGCGGGCGCTTTTCAGGGTTGATTGGCTGATGTTAATAACTCTTGACTAAAAGGAACGATGGTGGTTGTAAATATTGATTGTTTTCTTTTTGTCCTCGAGTTCGGGGGGACCACACCTTTAGGGAGTGGAAAGTGCTGAGTTGGGTTGTTGTAATGCCGCACAAAAAGGTTTTTTGTTTTTTCTTTGCTGAACTCTGGTTTCATCGCCGGCAGGAGCTAGGCTGAGCCTCTCTCGCCCCATTGTCCCTGCGGCCCCCACTGCTTTAGGGTGTCCTCTCCCCCGCAGAGAAGGGAGGGCGATGCCTGCCCGGGAAGAGACCTCTATTATTCGGGGGGGGGGAGAGAAACAGTTTGGAGAAGATTGGAGGCCGAAGCCTTTCTTTGGGGGTTGGAGAGGAGGCAGGTGTAGATGATATTGCTTCTCATAGGGAAAGGCAGGATTTGAGGCCTAAGCTTTTTGGGAGGTGGGAAAGAAAGAAAGAAAGAAAGAAAGAAAGAAAGAAAGAAAGAAAGAAAGAAAGAAAGAAAGAAAGAAAGAAAGAAAG